TAACATCAACACGTACCAAACCGTACCTCAGGCGGAGATAGCGAGGGCTGCCGGTATTGATATATACGCTATTGGAATAGGCTTGACAGAAACTGTAGAGTTGAAGGGAATTTCCAGCAAACCACTTGACAAATTTCTGTACGTTGTTGATGACTTTACGGAGCTACAGGGTCTACTGGCAGATATGTTTAAATCTCTTTGTCCGGGTAATTATGCACTTATATTTGAAGTAAAGGTGAAGGTTTAGTTAAAATAGAATGTTGTACATGCAGTTTCATCTGCAACGGTGCCTTAAGTAGAATAATGTATTGTGGATGACATTATAAATGACCTGGTATGTATTATAAAGGTTTAGGGCAATTTGATTTTGTTATATGATGCCGATTCAGAATTAAATTTATTTTTTTCTGATTATTTAACTTTGCTTTTAAATATTCATATCATTATATAGAAATGCCATTATTATTCGGTGATCAGTTGATAAAAAGAATATTTGTATAAAAGTTTAATTGGTTATTATTTTAGAACGCATTGTTAAAAGAGAAATTATTAAATGAACGTTATGAGATTATTTTCACAAAATATATATGTAACTGTTTCTGGTTCGAATACCAGAAGAAAAGACATTTTGGCTAATATAGATAACATTTTATAACCAGAGGTCCCACCGACTACCTCCACTTCTACGACAACAACTACAACCACTCCTCTCCCGACTACCACTTCAACTACTATGATACCAACTACAACGCTGCAGGGTAATTACCTCCAATTACCTCCCCTATTTACCCACATAATTTGCATTTTTTACGGTTATTTCATTGAATACAAATTTTAACCATAATGATAAGTTAACGCTTGCAAATCATTAACGAATCTGTGTAGTATTTTTTTTTTCTATTTCAATATTGACGCAGGATGCAGTTCAGAAAAGCAGGATATTGTCTTAATACTGGATTCTTCTACAAGTGTTGGGGAAAACAACTTCAAAAAGATTTTAGATTTCACGAAGAATTTCCTCCGCAATGCAGACATTGACAGTGGTATAGTACGGGTTGGCATTGTTATCTATAGCAGTGAAGTGGTAATTCAGTTCCATTTAGATACATACTCTACCAAAGCTTCCATCCTTTCCGCAATTGATGCAATAGACTTCATGCCTGGTAGCACCAACACAGCTGGAGGGTTACAAAGCATGCACCACGAAATGTTTACTCCACAGCATGGAGATCGTCCACAGGTCCAAAACGTCGCGATTATTATAACAGATGGAGTTTCCAATATTAATTCCCGTTTAACGATACCGGAAGCAGAAGCAAGTAGGAATGACGGGATAGATATTTATGCTTTGGGTATTGGAATAACAGATACCGTTGAATTGGAACAAATATCAAGTCAGCCCCTGGAGGACTTTCTGTATACTGTGCAAGACTTCTCAGAGTTAGGTGTACTCCAGGAACAAATGTTTACATCGTTCTGCCACGGTAAACAACCTTTACTTATATTTATCTTAGAAGGAACGAGTTGGACTTTTTTAAAAGGAATATGTATTTAAATCCAATTAACAAAATTGTGCAAAGTGTATCCGTTCTGATAATAGATAAAAGACATAGCAAATAACATGGCTCTTTAAACTAAACAGAAAACTATATACTTTCTCGTCTGTTTTGGAAAAACCTGAATAACTTCACAATACCCCTTCATTACAGAACCTCCAGCGGTCATTGATATAAAACCTGTCGGTGAGTTGAAAACAAAACTGTTCTTGGTCTTGATACCATGGAAACCATTTTTATCATTTGTTTAACTCTCATCCAAAAATAAAATAATGCTGTTTATATTCATATAATATTTCACCTTCTCTGGTTCATCCGATATCATAGTTTTAAGCAATCAGTCTTTAAGACAAAACAAACTACAAACGTATTAGAATGAGGTGTAGTTAATTGGCACCAATCGTTAAAAAAAATGTCATATGATAAATGAAATAATTTCAGGCTATCATGCATTGTAGTGAAATCGATACCTGATTTAAGTAGAAAAGTTTGCTGTCTATTATCTCCCTTGTAGCTAATAAGGAACGTTTTACGTCCACAGCCTGCGGTTCTGAGAGACAAGACATTGTTTTTGTTGTCGACTCCTCAACAAGTGTGGGTCCTGATAACTTTCAGAAAATCCTCACATTTATCAAAGATCTTCTTTTGAATGCCAATATCGACAATGGTCTGGTTCGGGTAGGCGCTTTACTATACAGTACCGACGTTTCAATACAGTTTCACCTTCGGACATTTTCATCTAAATCCGACCTATTTTTCGCCATTGACACGATATCGTACATGTACGGTAACACAAACACTGCCTCTGGTCTCCTCGCTCTCACCGAGATCATGTTCACCGCGGCGAATGGAGACAGACCGGACGTTCCAAACATCGCATTCGTTATTACTGATGGTCAATCAAACATCAACCCCTTCCAAACCGTCCCTCAGGCTGAACACGCCCGAACAGCGGGTATAGATATATATGCTATAGGCATAGGGTTAGCGGACACAGAGGAATTAAAAGGGATATCCAGTCTGCCGCTGGAGAAATATTTTCACACTGTTGACGACTTCACAGAGTTACAAAATCTGAAAAAGGGGATGTTTCAATCTCTGTGTCCTGGTAATGTATTCCACGTTAAGAGATTGTTGGGTTAATTTCAGTCCCATGTATGTTTTATTATAAAATGACTTCGGCTGTTAACCTTTGTCTTTAAACATTTACCTTTATTATACAGTTCAGGTGTTTATAACATTTGCGCAATGTGAAGATGGTTTTCGTTTTTCAATATGCTTTTTAATTAAAATCAATTGATAAAAAATGTATTTGATCAAATTAAATTTCATTTCAATCCGGAAATAGTCTAATACCAAATGATGAGTCGTGTTGTAGGTTGTAAATCCATTTATGTGCAAAGTATTTCATACAATTATCATTTTTTTTCCCCGGTCTATTTTAATATAAGAGAGTACAACAACAACTTCTACGACAACAACGACAACAACTACTACCCCTGCTACAACTTTATCGCAAGGTGAATAACTCCGTCATAGAGTGTCCTATTTATGGAATTATAAACACATCCCACGGTCCTTAAACAACGTGAACATTTTACATTTTTTTTTTTTTTATTTCCAATACATTTCCGGAACTAAATATATTTAACGCTTACATAAGGTAAATGAAACCGATAACAACTTTTTCACTGCCGGGTCGTTAGACAATTGTAATGACTGTATTATTATTCAATATTTTATATATTATTTCATGGTAGCGAATCGAGAGACGTAGACTTTTCAATATGTTTTATCTTTATCCCACAGTTTGTAGCAACACCCCACAAGACATCATTTTTGTCATCGACTCGTCTACTAGTGTTGGGACGACTAACTTCCAGCGCATGCTCAGTTTTGTAAAAGACCTGTTGACCTTTGCCGATATTGATTCTGGTAACGTTCGAGTCGGTGTAGTTACGTATAGTACAGGCGTGAAAATACAGTTTCATCTCAACTCCTTCGCGACGAAGTTAGAGGTACTCTCAGCCATTGGCAACATTCCATTTGCGACCGGTAGTACCAACACTGCTGACGCCATTTTCACCATGGCCAAAGAAATGTTCATTCCTTCTAGGGGTGATCGCTCACAATCTCCAAACATTGCTTTTGTTATAACCGACGGCGTTTCGAACCTTAATGGGCAAAGAACGATACCGGAAGCGCAATCGGCAAAGGCCAATGGAATAAACATATATGCAATTGGAATTGGTCTATCGGAGACGCAGGAATTGAAAGGGATTTCCAGTCTGCCTTTGGATGAGTTTCTGTTCTCCGTGGACAATTTTGAAGAACTAGAGGGTCTGAAAGAAACTGTGTTCCGATCGTTGTGCTCTGGTATCGTATCCGTTTTAATCAAATTTTGGGATAGGTTACTAACATCGTGGCTTTGTCGTTTTCTTTGACCTCTCATTGATCTTTTGTCCTCTCATTGACTCATTGACTTCTCATTGCAAGTCTATGTAGGTGGTGGGTTATTGTAATCGGGAGTTCATTGTTTTTGGTGATAACCAATATCGTGTTGTCCATCAAGGTGAAGGGAAAATGTTCACGTTTCATCATTGTGTCCTCTGCGTTGTTCGTGATCTTATTTCATCGTGTTGTTCAATCCACTCACACATTGTGTTCTCATTATAATAGAAAAGATCACAACAACATATCAAAGTGTCGTTTCTGTCAGCCTTCTAAATGATGTCCATGTTTTATATGTCTTTTTTTTACTGTTCTCTGCCAAATATCAGCGTAATTGTAGTTGTCCGGCCATGTGTGATCAATGCGCATTCATTTGTATTAATGTTGTGGTGATTGGTGTTGTTGATGGTTTAACTTTGAAATTCATGTTAATCTGTTTCAGTTTCAGATTTAATCTGGTATACTTGCAGGAACGTGTTTTGTTCTTTGTACTATGTTCCTTGTTGAGCCGTTGTTGTGTATCGAGTTATCTGCCCTTGTTAACGTCTGTTTGAAGTTGTTGTTGTTGTCGACTTACCTATTACCATGTCTGTTCATTGATATCCACCTTCACGATATGTTTGTCCTGTCAGTTTGGTTTTGTTGTGTGTTGTTTTTATAATATAGTGAACAGAAGTTTTGTCTCATAACCGTATCGGTTAACTTTTTCAGTTGCATATTGTGTTTTGCAAATAAAACTTAAACAATACACGAACAATATACAATTATTAGTTGTCTTGTATATACTGATATCACCACAGTTGTGTGTATATTTAAATCAAACACAACAGGAGTGCTTGAATTCTGGTTCCAACATCATGTTCTACGGAAACTAATATATTGATTTTTGTTTTTATTGAAGGGATGGGTGTTGTTTGTTTTGTTTTTTTGTAAATTTTGTTGTTGTATTTTGTTTGGTAAAGAGGGAAAAATAATATTTTGTTACAGATGCACCTTTTTCAACGGCGATGACTATATATAGCATGTTTATTTGGTAAAATGTGATTTGTAATATTTCAGTGTTCTGTCTTGTGAATATATGGACCCTGTAATAGTTTGGTAACATTTTTATGCCATGTAGAATGTCTTTATCGACGTTCCATGAAAGTTTAGTTTGTACTATGTGAACATTTCATAAGCATCTTAACCTCATAAAGCGTCGAGTTTAAAATTCAGTTATGTCATCTTGTCTGTGCTCTATGAACCGTTGTTTAGTCTACTGTAAAATCACTAATTTTAGTGGGTTTTTTTGTTTTATATTTCGTTGATTTCGTGGGTAATTTTCATCCATGAATTCAAATGGGTCCTCAAAGTAATTACAAGTTAGATATAAGGTCATTCTCTGTTTGAGTGTGTACTCGTTATCTACAAATTCATGTATCCTAGAAATGGTGCTGTGTCGGGAAACAACGACATTTGCGCCAAACGAAAATATCTGATATTACAGTACATGTATATGCGTTTGAGCGCAGCACCGTTAGTCTTGATGCCGTTTGAACTGTTGAGTTCAGTCTTGTATATATCTGTTCAGTATACGACTTTTGTAACGATAAAAGTTCAGTCCTGTACATGTCTGTTATCTGTGAATTGTAGCCTGGTAACAACTTCAGTCCTGTATATGTCTGTTCTTTGTGAAGCCTTTGATCTGATCCAAGTCGTCGTGTTTTTGTGAACACGTTGGTCCTGACACAATGTTACTATGGATATGGTGTGTTGGCACAATGACAAATATGTATACGTCTATTCTGTGTGAACCAGTTTCAGTAATGCACACGCCAGATACATGTGGTTGTCATAACGACAATACAATGTCGTCATACCTGATGCACTATGAAGATAATATCTTTGCTGGCGGAGGTATTTTGTTGTTAGCAGTAGAGTGGATATCTATTTCAACATGATAAAACGTGCGATTTTATACATTGCCTTGTCATTTATTTGTAGTAAGGGATATGTATGTTGTAAGTATCAATATATCATTGATACTATTACCCAGTGAAGGTAAGACACTTGATTCAATTGCTGTTATGTTATATTACACGATGACTTGATACCCGTACAATGAATGAGTACTCTATGTTATTCTCAAAGTTACCGTTTTAGTTTTGATGCGACAGATTTCATCAGGCCTATACCGCTCTACTGATGCTAGCGTTATATGGATGGACGCTTACAAGCGTTTGTTTCACCATATAGACTTTTAAGTTTGTTCTCCGAGACAACTATCGACCGTTTATAAGGACAAGATCCTTTTCGTAATACTCTCCACGCACTTATACTTGTGTATCCGAACGTGTATAAGTAGCCCAACATCTCCGCTGATGTGGTCGTTTATTTTTCGGCGGTTTTTGTGTATACTTTACAATACCAACATTGTTTTCCAACATATGCTTTAAAAAAACGTTTTTTGGTAGGAACTATTAAAACAACTAACGTGCAGACATGCACTATTGTTCCAACTAACTATACGTTATTGTTTCATACGGATGTATCTAACTGAAGGTAATACATTATCTAATACATCACACTATGAAATATTTACAGCACATGGAACTGGGGGTTCTAATTTGGAATTCGGGACTAACCCTTTAATTACTTGTTGCATTGGAGGCGTGGAGTATTTATGCTTTCTACTATTGGTGAATGTATATGGTTGATTATTATATGGATGATCATTCACCTGGTTGTTTAATCAAACAGTTATAATATTTCAGTACCGCCGACAACTCCACCTCCGAAAATAGGTGAGGAATAAATCATTTTAATGTGATGTTAATTGTCATAACAGAAAAGTATATTTGAAAGGAATACATGTTAATTGTCAACGTCCTTGCAAAATATTGTGTACATGAAATAAAATTGAGCTAATTGAAAAATAGGATTAAAGCGATAGTCGGGAAATTTCTATCTCGAAAATATAACTTTGAATACAATATGTATCCAATGGTAAAATACGGAAATAACATGACCTCAAATTTTATTAATTTTACTTCAAATTTTAATTTAGATATGCAAATTGAGTTAGGTTGATCTGCTGTACGCGTCTATCTGTGAAACTGTTATACGGAAAGTGCCTATCTCAATTGATGATTACAATGTTAAAATGTAAAATTCTGCAAATGTCTTGTTTTTGCAACGTTTTTTGCTATTCTGGAAACTTGACACATATTTGTTTATTAAACCTATAGCTTTCATGACACCATATTGTTCGATCTGTTGTGTGGTAAATGTTCATCTTGTCATTCTTCTACCCCGCACTTTACAGTCTGTACACTAGCAAAACAAGACATTGTTTTCATACTGGATTCTTCAACTAGCGTTGGCCGTCCAAACTTCAACAAAATGTTAAATTTTGTGAAAACCTTCGTGCAGCACGAGGATATCGAGGATGGAAATGTTCGGGTGGGAGTAGTGACTTATAGTACAACAGTCAGTATCCAGTTCCACTTGGATGAACACAAAAGTCGGCATGACCTTGAGAAAGCAATAGAATCTATACCCTATCAGTTTGGTAATACTAACACTGCGGCAGGGCTGCGAACAATGCATAATGTGCTATTTACATCTGATCACGGTGACCGTCCTGACGCAGACAACATAGCTATCATTTTGACAGATGGAATCTCAAACATTGGCCACACTCGCACCATTCCTGAAGCCAATTCAGCCAAGGACAACGGTATCAGGATATACGCGATAGGAATTGGACTCATTGACACGAAAGAACTTGACGGAATGGCTAGCCTACCTACAGCAGACCATAGTTTCAATGTGAATGATTTTAGCGAGCTGGATAATCTTCAGGACGCCGTGTTAGATTCAACATGCAAGGGTAACACGCACGCAAATATCTGTCTTAGCACCAGTAACACTTAACACATTAACAGTGTTGTCTTGCCATTTTGTTGCAAGTTGGTGAAAAAAAATCCTCATTTAATTATGTGGTGAAATATTGTCTTATAATTTCTTTTCTAACCCGGTTGCGGTGTTTGTTTATCTACGTGTAAACATTGGGTTATGGCGCTATTGAGTGTCCTGGCAGAAGGTTTTTTTCTTGTTCTTTTCGTTTTATATTACAATGCATTCTATATTCAACTTGATCATTTTCTTTTTCTTGATAATGCTTTCTGATAACTGTACTCTTTATAACATCTGCCGTCGTCGGGGTTTTCTTTGTTCGTAAGCCATTTTATCATTCCTAACTTTGGGTAATTGGTATTTTTTTCTTTATTTTGCTATCGTCTTTCAATTACGATATCATTTACCTTTAATGTCATATTCTTTATTTCTTACGTAAATCATTTCACACTGTGTCGATAATGGTGACACAATGAGTATCTGTAGTCTATTATATTGATAAAATACCTAAACAAGATATCTCAATTGGTGGTTGCGATGAACAAATCTTCACATTCAGAGAATTACTTGTATCAACTTATGTGAACTACTTTGTGAACTAAATAATGTACCATTATTGTTTTTATATTTTATTTAAATTGAATAAGTGCATGGAATTTATATGTAAGTAATTCAATATCAAATTGGAAATTTGTGATTTACTAATATTATTCGTTTTACATACTCACTTTTCCAGTCATTACCCTACCGCCTACAACAACACCTCTAGGTGAGAGTTAACAGTAGTCCAAATCAAAGATATTTCTGTCATATAAAATAACCATTTTAGCTCACCTGCCTGAACTGCAAGTGAGCTTATGTCATGGCGCAGCGTTCGTCCGTCAACTTTTCCTTTAAAACGCTACTTGTCCTGAACAGCCCAGTAGATTTCGACCTAATTTGGAGCATCCTTAGGCCAAGAGGACTCAATTTTGTATCAACGGTGGGTGTGGATCCCCTGGGGACAGAGGAGCGGGGCCGAATAGAGAAAATAGAGGTAAAAACCTTTGAAATCATTCTTCTACACTAGGAATTAAGGGATTTTATCCCAATTTAGCCTGGAGCATGGGGACTAATATGTGTATAAATGAAGGATGATGACCCTCTAGGTGCTGAGAGTTTTAAATCGTTCTTCTTCTGTACCATTGGAGGTATTTTATGTAATAAGAATAATTTCCAATTGTTGCTTTATTATCCAGGTGAGCGATACAGGCCCTCTGGGCCTCTTGTTGCATAAAGCTTCTGTGATATCATCTTTTTAGTTTTAAAAACAACAACTGGAACACACTGATTTAACTATCTGGTTATTCAGAAGTTTATTTAAATCTTCCAGACATTCTAACGGTAGCCAGAGAATCAATACTAATGAGACTACATTCGTACTTTGGTTATAGTGACGTTGAACTAAACAGCGATACGTGTTTATATTTACCAGATGTTTAATTTTAGACATATGTTTCTATCATCACGCATGTGTTTTTATGTTGAAGTTTGCAATGCGGCAAGACAAGATATTGTTTTCATCCTCGATATGTCAACGAGTGTTGGTTTTAGTAACTTTGCCAAAATGCTAGAATTTCTGGAAAACTTTCTGTCGCACGATGATATTGATAACGGTATAGTACGTGTGGGTGTCGTGGGATATAGCACTGATGCCAAGGTTGAGTTTCATTTAAATGAATATTCTTCGACTACTTCGCTGTACAACGGTATTAATAATATAAAGTACATGCTCGGAAACACGAATACAGCTGCAGGACTGAAGCTTATGAGAACGACTATGTTCACAATTGAACACGGGGACAGACTGGATGCTGAGAACATAGCTATAATAATAACTGATGGCATATCAAACGTAAACTCACGTCAAACGCTACCGGAAGCAAGAACTGCGAGGAATTCCGGGATAAAAATATACGCTATAGGCGTTGGTTTGACAGAAACAACGGAGCTACAGGGTATAGCGTCTCTGCCGCTTGAGGAGCATTTGTTACTTACTGACGATTTCTCCGAGCTCAACAGTCTTAAAGATACGGTGTTTGAATCGAAGTGTCCGAAAACGACACCGACACCTGAACCAACGACGCCAATGCCGACGTCACCAGCCCCTACAGCGCCACCTATTGGTAGTATTGCACTCCGATACTGATAACATAACACAATTTGATTTGGGCTTCATTTGTTGTTAATTGATACCTAACAGATTTTCATAGGAACTTAACCTTGTTATGGGTTCTTAACATGTGTTAATGGATACTTATCATATTTTAATGGGTGCTTACCGTGATTTATCGGTGATGGGTCAATCTTGTCTTCGTTATCGATTTTAAAGGCTTTTATGGGAAGGTATTGATGTTTTTTACCTTTATTTCAGCTAGATAAAACATAACGTTTTAAAGATTTTTCAATTTAATTATTGCTTTTTTATTGTAAACATTGCTAAAATAACCGTCACGCTATCAATTATTGAGCACTTTATAACCAAATATAGTCTTATATATAAATATGTGATTTTTTGACGATTTGAATCTTTGTTTCATTACGAGGGGCATAATTAGCTTTAACCTTTTGATAAACTGTTTAAATTAGGGAAGTGTTAGTAGTTAATTAGATACCTCACTAACTATATACCGAGTAATTTTGCCAGTGATGTTTTTGCTACGGTATTCGTAATTGTAAAGACAAAAAAGTTCCCGTTGCACAATGAAGAAGAAACCAGATACTAGCAGACCAGTTTTGAAAAGGCTATAGTTTGTTACGTTATCATATAACTTATTACGTCACAATCAGATTAATTGCACGTGTTTTGTATATACAATTATTTGTGATATAAGTTTTGCTCAGCATAGAAGCCTGGGATTTTTCATCATACTTACTTGAAATATTTGTCTTTAAAGAATGCTATATTGTATATTATTTTACTTCGTTTTTGACATTGGCGTGTTCTTTTCGTATTTGAGTATTTAAGTTGTCTTAATAAGAGAATATGTCTGTTACCAGGGATTGTTGACCTTGCACAACCAGTTAAAATTGCACTTTTTATGTAAACATATAAAGTAATGACATTTCTCATGTTTATAACGTTAAAATTGTATTTCTTGGCATATCAACACTTTGGTATTTCTTGCAAGTAGATTTTGAATGCAGAGACTACATACATAAAACGTATTGTATAGGTAAACGTTACTGCCAGGGTATGAAAACACTGGTTAATACTAATGGGTTTATCCTATTCTCCTCTCTTTCTAAGTGTGTTACGGTACCAGACAGGATATTGTCTTCATACTGGACATGTCTACCAGTGTGGGCTATAAAAACTTCCATAAAGTATTGGAATTCCTGGAAGCTTTCCTGTTTCATGACGACATAGATAGCGGTACAGTTAGGGTCGGTGTTGTGGGTTATAGCAGTGACGCTAATGTCGAGTTCTTCCTCAACCAATACTCTACTACCGATACACTGTATAAGGCTATCGACAATATACAGTACATGCTAGGAAACACCAATACAGCGGCCGGTCTACGTGTCACCAGATCCGCCATGTTTACCGTAGATCACGGGGACAGACCGGACGCTGAAAACATAGCTATAATCGTAACGGACGGTGTGTCTAATGTTAACTCCCGTAACACAATACCGGAAGCGGAAATGATGAGGAATTCTGGAATTAAAATATACGCAATAGGCGTTGGGCTAGTAGAGACCCAGGAGTTAACGGAAATCGCATCAAAGCCAATTGAAGATCATTTATTTCTTGCTGATGATTTCTCTGGACTTAATAATCTCCATGATCAAGTTCTTGACTCTTTTTGTCTTGAACCTGTACCGACACTGAGACCAGAACCTGCACCTTCACCAGAACCTGAACCAACACTACCTGGACCAGATCTGCCACCCGTCGGTAGTATCTCACCACTGCACAAATGCTAAGCCCATACACTCTACTAAAGCGTCTAACGTTTTGCGCATTTTTTTTTAAACTTTATTTACAATTATTGCGAATTTAGAAAAAATGTAATCTCCGGTTACAGGCCATGCTTACTAAGAAAAGTGAAAATATATGTGAATAAACATTTGGTTTACATATATTTGCTCCATAATTGACGATTGTAAGTGCTAGTTGTTTGTATAGTTGTATAGTTGAAATATGTTAACTAATATATTATTTCACCGCTGCTACATTTTCTTTTTTCTACAGAATAATTTCCACCCCGTCTCTCATTTGGTCCTTACGTCTTGATCTTTATCACTCTATCACACGTGCAATCATTGATGACTCTGAATAAGGTGCTGTTTCAATCTTGACCCAAGGGTTGCGGGTTCGAGTCACGTCACGGCACTGTGTTGTATCTTAGAGCAAATACTTTACTCCGCTTGTACCAGTCTACTCAGCTGTAAATGAGTACATGGTTGAGCAGTGCTAGAACTGTTGAATGGTAGCTGTGAGCGCCGAAATGGCAGCACCGGCTTTATGCTCCCTAGGGAGTTAAGAATGATATTGGCTTATTGCAAAGGCCGTATACCCACGGATAATAATTTGCGAACCGCTTTGAGACGACCGAGAACTAGGCTGTGATAAAGCGGTATTTAAGAACCTCGAATTATTATTATTATTAAAATACTTGATTATTGTATAGCCATTTGATATGGAAAACGAAGGACTAAACTTCTATCAGGCCTCCTGTAGACGATATAGTTTGATACTTTGAAGTAAAATACTTACAATTTCGATATGTATCGGCACTACGGTCTTACTTTTGTAATAATCTGACTGATATCGACTGTTCTCAAGGATTCATATTGTTTTGATCTCCGCCTTTTTCATATGTATCAAAGTTCTGATAAACTGTTAACATGGATAAAAGGGAAAATGCATGAAGAATGTATCATGCTTGTGTTTTGTAACTTTTCGATGCCATTCTTCATAGGTCATCTTGTTGATAGTTTTTCGTCACAGAGAGATGAGGTTTACGCCACTGTTTCATTTCATAAAAAAGCGAATGATCGTTTCAATACGTTTAACATTCTTCTTTTTGTTTTTCAGGAAAACATTTTAGATGTTGTATCGTTGATAGTTAATGTATGATATTTGTATTAACTACTTTAGCTGTATGATGGAAGTTGAATGCACTGACATGGGTATTTTTAAGATAAATAATACACGTACATTCAGGTTTAAAAATATTGTTATTGTCTAAGTAATTTACCATTTCACCACTATAGATCATACTGGACTTATCTAGATCAATGAATGGTAGAGTTTATTAAAGTTACATAGGGGTGAGAGGGTTAATATCTGATTGGATACCATTATAGACATTTTTCTTTTTCTTTCCTTTTCTTTTTTAAGAGTGTTATGGTGAGAGGCGGGATATCGTCTTCCTTCTGGATATGTCTACAGGTGTGGGGTTCGAAAACTTCGATAAGATGATTGAATTTCTTGAGTCATTTTTATTGCATGAAAGTATTGACGATGGAGCTGTCAAACTAGGCGTAGCTGGATATAGTAGTGAGGCAAGAGCAGAGTTTTATTTCAATTCGTATAATACGACATCTCAACTGTACTATCTGATTAATAATATAGACTACATGCTTGGAAACACAAACACTGCAGAGGGTCTTCGACTCGTACGAACCGATATGTTTTCGGTAGCTAATGGCGATAGACACGACGCAGAAAACGTTCTTATCATTATCACTGACGGTGTATCAAACATCAATTCACAAGATACTATACATGAAGCTGGACGTATCAGGGCAGCAGGAATAACTATATATGCCATAGGGGTGGGGCTTACAGAAACAGACGGGCTTCAGGGGATAACCTCACAACCCTTTGAGGACTACTTGCTGCTTGCTGACGATTTCTCTGAACTTGATGGTCTTCAGGACAGTATAATTGAATCGTCTTGCCTTGATCCAACACCTGCGCCCCCTGTCGGTAGTATTTCACACACGCACTGATTTTATCTACCTTTGGATACTAACTTACACGTCTTGTGTTTCCTATGTTTTAGTAATAAACTTCACTTCGTGTGTTTTCTGTGCACATAACGGACTTCCAAATATAATATTTGTTCTTATATAAGTGACATCCACGTGCAGGCAGATGTTCGCTACAGTTGTGTAGCTGTAGTTCAAAGTTGGTACACTAATATCGTGCAGATGGTTTTAACTTTGTTTTAGAATTCAATTTGTAACAACACTTACACCTACACATAGCTAAAGGTTCTTGTGACAGTGATATTAACATTAACCAAATACCAGGTACACTTATGTGATTGTGGTTGTACGCACATCACATTACATCACAATGTGGTTATGGTATATTTTCATGGTATAATAACATCGTGACTTTTCTTGACTGGTGTTTGGTTTCGGAAAATAAGTATTGTTTTGGTTACTATTGGCTGAAACAACTAGATATTAACTAATTACATCAAGTGACTTTTAACTTCACGATGTATTATATCGATGCACATTTTTTTACCCTGTGATAATGGTGGTTTCGGTTTCAAGTTTTCATATTCATTTTATTTTTGAAAGTATGCACAAAAATAGGTAAGTATATATGGTTATGACTTACTGACAAAAGCGATGCTCTAAAACGGAATAGCGTTGCTTGAACATATTTCCCCAATGGCTTTTAATACTCCTAATGATATATAACTTTCCATGTTCTGAATTTGATCCCTCGATCAACGGCGCAATGGGCGATTATTTTTCTAAATAAACCAAATTTTCTAATGAAAATTTAACTGATGTAAATTTCATTAATAAAACGTTTTGTTTCTTTCATGAATGTTTTCATTTCAGTAAATACTATACAACAACATGTGTTTGTTTGTAATGAATCAATACTTCAACAGAATTTCGCATTATTTGATTACATCGTGATTATATATGGCTTTATGTAAATGTTTATCAATATAACATATATGCTGCAAAAAAGCTTTAAAAAAATGCATGGAACTACTTAATAGAATTAGACTGTTGAAGCCTATCCAATGTATTGTACACGTATAGTTTACATTTTAGGTATATTGTCCTCTTTAAAACCAGTTACCATATTCGCAACTCTGTCATAATTCTTATATTTTTTACATGAGATACTGCAGTTTATTTTCAATTTTAGAATATGCTCTAGTTGATAAATCCTATCTAAGCATATTGCCTCTAACAGAACATGCGCATTCATATAAAATGTGACCTCATTAACGTTGACATGAACATTTTATAGTTTTAAATCATAGGTAAAATTAATTTCAACAAATTATTTATATGATGACTCAATAACTTTTTTTTCGACAAGTTTTGAACATTTTGACATATCCCATGTTAGAACGCTAATATAGCGCCTGCTATGTTTACTTTTCTGTTTTATTGAACTGATATTAAGACTTTAAATTCGTGTTCTCATTTTAAATATTAGACGTTTATTTCGTGTTTTCAGCCACGACCAATCTACCCACTCAGGCTCCTACAAGGCGACCTGGTGAGGCTCTCTTACATCTCATTCTTATTAATCATCTTACAATGTTACATAGATGTTAGTAGGGAGGTCCACAAGTTAGGGATTCTCTTAACTTAATCTTTATGTTACAATGTAAGAGAAGATCAAATATTACATTTCATTGGTTGCAAGACCACTTCACTCGATCATCGCTTTTATCATCATATATATTTTGGAAGCTTAAATATCAGGGATATTGGTCGAAATTTACTAACGATAAGTCATATGCATCCCGAATACTAATGATCAATTATATGCATCTGGAACGTTTATAATAAAGAAGATACACCCTGAACGATAATGCATGAAATATCAAACCCTTTAAATGATAGCATTTGTCGTTCTTTAATATTTTCTAATACTGAGATTGTGACGCACGAATTGAATTTTTCTTAAAGGCTGTGGTCTTGGGAAGCAAGACATCGTTTTCATGTTGGAATCATCATCAAGCGTTGGTCGCTACGGTTTCAGACGGATGCTGGATTTCATGAAGGATTTTTTATACAATTATGATGTTGACGCAGGGCAGGTTCGTGTTGGGGTTGTCACGTATGGTACAGACGTTACTATTGTCTTTTTTCTTGACACATTTACACGGCGTCAAATACTGTTCGAAGCGATAGACAACATCCCATACACTCGAGGAAATACCAACACAGCGGGCGCCCTTCAAGCCATGCATCTCGCCATGTTTAATGAGCCGAATGGAGATAGACCGGAAGCGGAGAATATTGCAATATTGATTACAGACAGCGTGTCTAATGTTAACTATGGTCGCACGCAAGCGGAAGCGGAAGACGCAAGGAATGCTGGGATCACCATTTACGCTATTGGTGTTGGACTTGCAGATACTACCGAAATCAAAGGCATATCTAGTAAACCATCAAATCGACACATCTTCCTGATCCAGAATTTCGCTGAATTGCCTGACATCCAGGTGGAATTATACGAAGCCTCCTGTCCCGGTAACGTAGAAAACGCTTCAACTGCAAGGGATCTGTTGGTGGTTCTCCCTAAACTAATATATGTCACTCAAAGTCAATTTCCTTTAGTGGTGTTGGTTTCTGCTAGTATTGCACGACGTCAGTTCTCATTGGCCCAACAGAAAGCATATTGTTTCTTTAATTTATAGGTTTGCATGCTTGATATTTTCATCCTACAAAGAACTATAAATAATGGTTACGGAATATATTCTATTGGGAAAGGGACTCTTAATGATTCAATATCCCGTTGTATGGCGCTGATCATAACCATAATGCTATGAGTTTGGTAATGGTTAATAAAACAGATTCTGAATATCCCCCTTTGTATACTACACATATGTAATCGATGAAAATGTTACACACTACGTGTGTTCTTTGTCGATATCAACATTTTTGTTTTATCGAATTTAATTGTATTATTCAAATCAAAATAGCGGCACATCGATCAAAACCTCGTGAGTATAACTAGGTTTTCCTTCACATTTATTCTCTGAATATTTTATTTGCAGTAAATCTTAAAAAAAAAGCTGTTCGTTTTCATTTCAGGTGCGTCTTTAATGTAAAAATATAAGACTTTGTTTTATTTCAGAAACTTCAAATATATATACTATTATATTTATTAAACTATTAATGAAGAATTTTCTTTTCAGATTTATATTTTATTGTGAAAAGTTAATAAATATTTCAAGATAATAAAAAAGATGTGCATCGTCTAAATTGTTGTTGTGATTTATAACTTAAAATGAAACATTGTTGTTTTTTGGCCCCCTGCGCTGAAGGCTTGGTATGCCGACTTAGGAGATCACAGATTTGATTGATACTTTAAAATATAACAAAAAAGTATTGGCTTAGTATCAGCTTGATGTATAGACATACAGGTACACTGCATTTGACCGACACTCTACCATGAATGCCGATTAACTTTGTAAGTATTCGCACAGCTTTTATCGTCAGTATTACTACAAATATATGATGTACACATTTTGTTTCAGGAATTGTTTGAGGATAATGCGTTAATAATATGAATCGGCGATTGGTGATAAACGCACTGATAACCTTATATGTCCGTTCGTCGTACTATTTTTCATGTTTTTGTTCATTTATAAAAAAAAACTTTGTTTTAGTTTATCACGATGAATAGTTGTTCAAGTACATTATTATGTGCTACAATTTAAAAAATGATATTTGTTATCGTTTCTTGTCAAGTAATCTAAATGACAGTTGTACATAAAAAAATCAAAGTAGTAGAACTCAAATGTGATAATACCTACGACTGTGTGTATGAGAGAGTGACTGTTGATGTTTTGGTTGATGTTTTGTCCTTGTTTATTAACAATACATTGATACTTAATGAATGCATGTTTCTTAAACCTGTTGATTTTTTTTTTTTGCAGCCGGTCCTTTCGAAACAAACACTAAACAAGGTACCCGCAGTATGCAACATTATCAAAATATCGACGTTATTTCATAGTGATTGAAACTGAATTGGGAATATGTCCGTTTTATATGCAAATTAAGAACATTAATCATTTCTTATGCGCAGTAGTAAAAACAGCAAATAAAAAGCATGGAAATACATCGCTCCTGTTACAGCGAGTTACAGTTGATGATTGAATACCATGCATGTATCGTCTTTCTATTGTTTACGGAACAATTGTACATTATTTTCCAGAAGGCTGTAAATCTGGGCGAGTCGACTTGGTTATCGTTCTTGATTCCTCGACCAGTGTCGGAAACGACAACTTTCAGCTAATGAAGAACTTTGTAAAAGACCTAGTTGGCAAGGCAGATATTAATTCCGGAAACGTCCGCGTGGGGGTGCTGCTATACAGCTCCTCTGTCAGTGTACAGTTCCAGATGAGCGAGTACCAGAATAAAGCAGACGTTCTAGCGGCCATTGATGATATTGTTTACATCTACGGAAGTACAAACACTGCTGACGGTATAAAGAAAATGTGGAGCGAGATGTTTACACCAGCCAATGGCGACAGACCGGATGTGGATGATGTTGCTATAGTGATAACTGATGGTGTATCCAATATAAATTCACGCCGGACCATACCTGAAGCAACAAATGCGAAGAACAATGGGATACATATATATACCGTCGGAATCGGACTGATAGACACAACCGAAGTGGATGCTATAGCAACTGCTCCAGCTTCTGAAAACAGCTTCAACGTCGACAGTTTTACAGAATTAGTTAACCTACATCAGCAAATTTTCTCCTCGTTTTGCCCAGGTACAACATGAGACTGTAAATATCGCCTATTTTGCCAAAGATATTGTATGTTAATTCAATCCTCCTGTGTTTGACTTAGTGACATGTTATAAATCTCGCAGCTTTAAATTAATAAGAAAAAGGAAATACATTTATGGTCGATTGTATGAAGTTTTTTTTAAGATATCAGTTTTTATTAATGGAATAGAGGAATAAATTATGAGGGGAAAAAATATTGTACATTAACGCTATGCGATATTTTGTTTCAGTTGAGGAAGTTGAAGGTATGCTATAACCACCACCTGTTCGTGTAATAATACCTAATACTCATCGATATGTCTGTACTTATACTAAATATTGACACTTTGTGTGTAATAAAATATAAACATGCACCTTTACGTTGGAATCGAAGCACCGTATTATCCTACTAATACTTTGCTATTAAGGATCACCACGCCGTAATTTTGTCACGTTGCAATAAACAGCAAATTGTGTATAACTCACTCTAATATCAACATGTGTGTATGACAGTGTCCTTATGATCAACATGTGTGTATAACAGTGTCCTTATGATCAACAAGTGTGTATAACAGTGTCCTTATGATCAACATGTGTGTATGACAGTGTTATTATGATCAACATGTGTGTATGACAGTGTCCTTATGATCAACATGTGTGTATGAGAGTGTCCTTATGTTCAACATGTGTGTATTACAGTGTCCTTAAGTGTTCACATATGTTTGTAACTTACTGTTGTGAAATATGAACCAGTCAATTTAATTCAACCAGGATGAAACCAATACTAATACGAGTGAAGGAGGGAGCACAGTATTGTATATATAACCGGGCCACATTAAACTCGATTTCATTTTTTCTGTGATTTTTATCTCCGTACGGAAACGTTTTCCAGTTTGTCCGTGAGTTTATACCTGTGTGTTCCCGTGTCACGTGTCCGTGAGTTTATACCTGTGTTCCCGTGTCACGTATCCGTTTGTGTGTCCAGAAACTGCGACGTAAGTGTTTTTTGTCATTAACGCATGCTTTGTACCTGTTGACACCTGTCACCTGTTTCATCCTGTCAAAATAGATTATGTTGTCACTCTGTTATAACTCTAACACAAATAATCATAACGATTTTTAATGATACAATCCACTCTTTTAATTGCATAATAAATATTGTTTACCTTTTCATTCTGTATACCATTGTTAAATATAGAATATTTTTTATAACATTGATAAATCGACATATATACTGTCTTGGTAATGTGTACCATTGCATTGTCAATATGTTATATAAACAACTTTACCATATTTTATATTAATTGGAATAATGATGTTATATTTTTTCATTCTTAAAGTTTCAATATTTGACTGATTTACAATGATGCAATGTATTCTTAATGCGACCATTATATTATAACAATCACACTAAAGTATAAACACTGTATTTTACAGCCACGCCCATTCCAATTACACTACCACCACCTGTATCAGGTAATGCATCATTCTATAAAAATGTGTTTAACAAATTAGTTTCTTTTTATCCTGCCTCATCGATAAACAAAATAATTTTGTAAACACATGTGTAGTATGTGTTAGCGTGATGATTGTAATTTAAGATAGAATATTCTTATTTCAATTAGACATATAGAATATCATTATGTGTCTTACAAACTTACTCTTTTTGATAAAGTATAAGATTTTTTAATGGAATTTTGTTACATATCCTTTTGTTTAGGAGTTTAGCACGTGACAATGTAGCAATAATCTGCTCGCTGTTTAAAAATTGTCATTTCTGTGAATTTAACTTAAATATGTATTTGTGTACTTGATAAAAAATTCAAATGTTGTGTTTGACAATTTTCATCTGCTATTTTATGTTCACAACATATTGTGAAAGTCTAAGAACAAAAGTACAGAGTTTTTTTCAGATGACGGTTCTGTGCAAGTAAGGATTTTCAAATAACATATTTAACAACATTAATAGACATGTAAACCGGTACTAACATTGTGTTTTCGTTTCAGATTGTGCTCTGTCGAAGGTGGACCTCATCATCATCATCGATGCCTCGACGAGTGTAGGGCAAGATAACTACGACCTAATGCTTCAGTTCTGTAAAGATTTCTTAGAAAATGCAGATATCGACTCTGGTAATGTTAGAGTAGGCGCTCTTATCTACAGTTCCGGGGTAGAAGTTCAGTTCAATCTCAATACATTTAGCACTAGAGATGACATAAACCAGGCTATCGATGAGATCCCCTACATTTACGGAAGTACAAACACGGCTGACGCACTGAGGACGATGAGGAACATGTTCAACGCCGCCGACGGAGATCGTGAGGATGTCCCAAACATCTGTATCGTTATAACAGACGGTGTATCCAACATCAATTCCCGGAGAACCATCCCGGAAGCCGACAAGGCGAGAGACGTTGATATCCATATCTACGCTATAGGTATCGGTCTGACAGATACCACAGAGTTAGACGGCATCGCCAATAAACCTACTGCCGATAACAGCTTCAATGTTCAAGGATTTGCAGAATTAAAAGCTCTCAGCGAGAAAGTTTTCTCTTCCTTATGTCCAAGTAAGTCTTTTTTATAATCATTCGTTTATCTTATATCATTTAAATACTTACTGTATAAAGGCAAACCTATTCTGGATATTTATTTGTTTTAGATTATTGATCTTAAAATCTGTATAAATTGATTTATTTTTGCGTAAAGTTAATACTGTTTATTTGCCCTAGTGTAATAACCGTAAGTGTAAACTGTTGATGGTGTTTGTGTTTATGTGTTGTTAATCAGGTTATAATGTATTCTTTGTATGTGTTTCACTTTGTGATGTTTTGTCTCTCACGCGCTAACCTTACTTCAACTAGTTATGTTCTGTAAAATCATTAATTTTCGTGGGGTTAAATTTTCGTGGTTTTCATATACTAGCCTGTTTCAATGACATTATATTTCGATGATTTCTGATTTTCACCTATCTATATCATTCCAAATCGATTTTTTTCGTGGGGATTTAATTTCGTGGATTTGTTGTTTATCCACAAATTAAACGAAATTTAATGTCCCACGAAAAAATATGATTTTACAGTATCCAGTATTAAGTTATTTATGATTTTTTTTTTATTATAATTTATATACTACTTGATACCACCTACCGGTAGCACGATACATTCATTACCACGCGTTGCCTTTATGCTAATACTCAAAAGGAAGTTGAGAACGATTTGAGAACAACATAAGAACATGTTAACGGATTTCCCATTTTGGCATTAATTTTCCCAAAAACGAACGTCTGCACGCGCCAAGTGATGTCTTAAACCGAAAATAGTTTTCACACAACGATGCTCCGCATAAGAAAATAGTCCGTGAGAAACGTATTATTGTAATGTTATGGAAATATATTATAAGGAAAACAACACCATTTTAAACGTAAATGTGCATATGGAGAAGTAAATGGGGAGACTATTGTTTCAGAAATATGTTTCTGTATAGCTTTTATGGCGCTTTTAGTCAAATAGTACAATTAAAGCCTATTAGTTACTAAAAATAAAAATCTCCTAACCAAAATTTACAATGTCCAGTGAGGTCAGATTTTTTCTTTCGGGCCCTTTCAGCCAGAAATAAACAAACGCTGTCCGACACCACATTGCAGTAGAATGTGCTTTTGAACATTTCACATGTTTGTCGCTTTGACACAATACATAGCAAGGAAGAATTATAAGTATCATAATATTTAAATCTAATGTGATATTTGTGTTCACATTTGGATTTGAATAAAAAGAAATATATGTAATGAGAGTATGCACGCGAGAGGGTACTGTAGGGAATTTCAAACCGCACAAAGTACGTTAATAGGTTTAAACGTAAAATAAATTTCCCATTTATACCGATGATTGAGATGTTGTTTGGATTATCAATCCCTGTACCGGTATTATAAAAAGTGAGAATTTGCCTACTTTTCACGGCTGGAAAGACGTATATGTTAGCGTGAAGTTTACGGATAGCTGCCCCCCGCTAAAACGTATGGTTTTACAGTTAAGGATTTTTCCATACAAATTAAGAATGTCAGAAAAAAAAATGTCTTTTGTCAATTTCTAGACATGAATTGTTCATAAGGAGTATCAAACTATATTATCATGGAAAAGGTTTTGGTAAGATTATGTATAAAACCGTCTTCACTGAATTGTCCCTTTAAGGTCCAAGGTATTCCTCCGCGAAAATCTTTTGTCTATGTTAATCACAGACCGAGGAACTCGATGATCATTAAGGACAGAAGTAATATGGAAAAAATAGTATGTAGTTGACTGTTTATGTAGGACGAAATATATAAGGCAGTAGTATATAGATGATAAACAGTTAATCACACATTTTTTTCAGGTTTTGTCTTTCGAACTATTTTCTCATTGTTTGCACGTGTATACCATCTCGAGTCCAGCAGCGGTGGCATCCCGATTTTATCCACGTGCTCTCCATGTAAAAAATGCTCTCACGACACACTCTGAAAACACAGTGTTATAACCCAGATATATGTTTACAGTAGCATAGCTTGTTCTATTAATTTTAATTAACTAGCTATATGTTCTGTGTGGTTTTATATATATACACCTGTGTGTGTATGTAAACATTGTCTATATTTTGTTACACATGTTACACCACTGTTTGTTTGTGTATGTGTTGCACAAGAAGTGTCACTTGTCACGTCTAAACCCACTCCTGCACACACGACAACCATACAGCCGACAACAATCACAGGTAACAATGTTGTGTTTGTAACTCCTTGTCTAATGATTCACTAAGCATGGCGGTTAACGTTATCGGCGGGTTATTAGACGCTTGTTTCGTTTTCTTGTCTATATGATCTTTGTTTTAGTAATAGCGTAAGGGGTTATTGTTAATGTCCATTAATTGATTAAATATCGCAATTTACTAACAGCGATTTCCCTTTGAAACGATTATTAATACTGTTGCCGATACACATTCTTTAGCTACGATATGTAAATGATTTGTAGGACTCTGTTTTGTTTTTTAATGCATGAACAGAAAGCACATAATATCATGGCATTATAAGAGATTTACTGTGGTCGTTATCGTTTGGTTACTACCTTTAATTATATAATCTCTTTTAACAAGAGGTTCTCTGATTATGTCGATATCTATATAAAACTAAAATGCTTGAGCATATTTTCTTCTTCTGAAAACATGTAATAAATATAACGATGTGTAAGAACTTCTTATCGAGTTACACTAATCATTAAGCAGAACAATGTACTGTGATAAAATAAATTGAACTAACTCGATATGACGTTACTTTTCATTCCAGTCACAGAAGCCCCAACACCTGCACCGCGAGCATTTGATCTTGTCATCGTTCTGGATTCTTCGGTGACGCGGGAAAAGTGGCGCTGGATTCAAAGGTATGCTACCACCGTTGTTCAACAGCTTAGCATAGACAACGAGAAGTTCCGAGTGGGTGCCCTTCGGTACAGCACTAACCAGAACGTCGAGTTCCAGCTAGCAGACTACCCTACCAAGAACGAAGTTATCCAAGCTCTTCGCCGTACTCGATATCAATCAGGGCAAACAAACACAGCCGAGGCCCTAGAGTATGTTAGGACCCGGATGTTTAGACCCAACAATGGCGACAGAGACTTTGCTAGAAACTTCATCCTCCTGATTACCGGAAATGACGAAAGCACAGACAGATATGAGGCGTTCCGTGCAGCAGAGAGAAACGAAGATGACGGAACCTACCTGTTCACGGTGGGAGTGGGACTCCGGGACCACAGTGAACTGGACGAGGTATCGTCACATGCTCTTGACGACTACCAGAAGCTGTTCCTACTATCTGATAGGCCAAATGATATATCGGATGATCTTGCTTTCCTCGAATCTGGTAAGTGTGATTACGATTTCTAATACATTGGCACATCCCTTAGACCTCATGTTATAGCAGCCATAATAAAATAAGAACAATGATGTGATGATTTTCAGATACCAGCAACATTTATATATCGACCAGTTATTGTGTCGCCTACGATGGATGTCGGCAGAGACACATAGGCGTTCCTTATTCGACGGCGGCGGCGGCAGCGACGGCGGCGTCAACAATGTTAAGGTTTTACGTTTAGCTCTGTTTCTGACAAAGCTACACCAACACAACCTCGATCATAGATGTAGCATGGGTAGTGGAGCCTACTGCACTAAAAACATTTCATTGAATTTTTGGAATTTTTTGGTAAAAACTTCAAATTTCTTGACTTAGAAAAAAACTCAACGTTAAGGTTTTGCGTTTAGCTCTTGCATGTTAGGCTCTTTCTGACAAAGTATAAGAGCTAGACCAACCAAACCTCCATCATACATGTATCATGGGTAGTAGAGAAAACATTTCATGGACTTTTTCGGATAAAACCTGAAATTTCTGGACTTTGTAAAAAAAAAAAAATGTTATGATTTTGCGTTTAGGTCCGTTTCCTTATGTGCTATGTCAACTGCTTATTATAATGACAAAGCAGGACAGGCGACACATATAATTAGGCGTAATTCTTGTATATTAAAGCATCTGCCTATAAAACCAACATACCTTTATCACATAACTGATAATCGGAATATACAGATTATCCTTAGATGGATATCACCTGCTCATACCGGTGAAATAAAATAATCTCAAGAATATTTGAAATGAAGATTATCTCGGTATTATTGTATCTCTCTATAAAAAGCAGATCATCTTTGTATCCTTAACGGTAATTGTAGTGTGATAACCTGTTTATAACGATCTTTCTTATTCGAACACTATATTTAGTGCCAATGATCGAGGTGATATCAAAATACAACATCAGCATGTCCATTAAATAACATGTGTACAAAGATCATGTGCCTATATAAGCAATATCAGGATGACCTATGATGATGTGTTCTAAAATATGGCCACCTAGCCTCCCTTGCACGGTCGTTATCGACTGGAAAATATTATATCCCAGCCTTTTATGACAAAACGTTTACTCACAAAGGAATAACGCTATAATACTGGTTTAACTGGTAATGAATAAAATAAGGAAAGGTACATTGTAACTCATTCATTTGCCTTTTAAAAACAACAACAGAGAGTATTAGTTTATCAAGTTTTATATATTTCCCTTATTACTTACAGTGTCTGACTCTCCGCCGGATGGGTTCCGCGGCCGTCCGTATCCTCCACCCTGTAAGTAACTGTTCGCACAATACTCATCCGTATTCCTTTATGGAGAAATTAACGTACAAAGCGTATGAAAAGTGTTTACCATTTTACCGGATTAAAATATATATTTCTTTTCGTATCTTACTGAATACGTTATGCTATATCCGATTGTTACCTCCATGCAACGTCTAAAAAGTCTACCAATTCCCAGGTAACGTATTGATCTACAATTATAACTTCTTATAATAAAGCATGTTTGTACTACCATGCTGATTTGCTAAAACACTTATAATATACTATTTAGTGATATCGACAGTGTGTCCATTTTTCAAATCAGGAAAACGGAAATTAAGAAACAAGAAAAGTTTCGTTGTAACTCTAGAAAGATCAACGTAACCCCTACAGACGAAGATTAGCAGTGTAAACGTGTTCTCTGTCGGAAAGCATTAAAAGCACATATATAGGATTGCTTTTTAAATACTTTGATATATTACAGTATTATTAAAATCGGGCTATCTCTTAGTTGCTTAGAGCGTTGCTTAGAGCGATACGTATTCGTCTTAAACTTAAATTGTAAAAATGTGCTTACTTTAACAAACCTTGTTTTTATAGCCACTACACCAATACCGATCACCCTGCCCCCACCCGTGTCAGGTGAGTACTTCGTCCTCTCAAAACAGTCATTCGTTTAAGCATACAGGCGTCCAGTACACCATTAAAACAGTTAAGCATACTTTAACCCACATATGCATTTGTTGCGCTGTGATAACCATGTGATTGGTGACGTATTACTTTATTGCCAAAGTTATCACCTGTAAAAGAAAATGGCAATCACATGATATTACTCCAATAACATTGCATACCTAGTTATGGAATGTTCGATTTTTTTCCAAGTATCAATTTTATTTCCCTTTCAAGAATATTTAAAGGCTGCCGTGATTAGGAAACTTGGGGTCAGCTTCTTAACAATTTAGTGTCCTCATGCAAGAGGGCTCTCATTCTTTCATGCACAATATAAACATTATAAAGAAGTGTGCTTTCACTCTTTCATTCTTCAAATGTTTAATCTAGTGTATCTATTTGTAAAGGGTAGAAAGAAGAGTAGGGACAATTATACATGTATAGATATAACATTATATACTTAGTGTGCATGACCATCAAATATAATCTTATTATGAAATTTCTATCCTTTTTGTAGATGTATAGATGTTATGTTATGCTGTTTATGAAGTATCACATAAGGAGAAGAGAAAAAAGATAGTTTCAAGTTATATATAGTGTAGAATCATTTATTTTCGTGGGATAACAGTACGTGGTTTTCATATACTAGCCTGTTTCAGGGACATTATATTTCGCTGATTTCTGATTTCCTCCTTTCTATATCATATCAAATTAATGTTTTCGTGGGGATTTAATTTCATGGATTTTTGTTATCCACAAAATAAACAAAATTTAATGTCCCACCAAAATTAATGATTTTACAGTAGTAATTTAAGAATTAATACATACATTAGTTTTTTTTTTTTTTTTACAATTGATTCCCAATTATTGTGCCCCACGCTGTTCGATATTAACGAACTACATTACAGTATTGAAGATATTTTAGTGACTTGAAAGTGTACATAATTTATATGCCTGATACTTGATAAAAATAAATCACCATTCCTTAACAATTTAATCAATAACTAAATACTGAGTTTCGTCAGGGCTTGTTAGACGTTTAATAAATAGCAATACACAACGAAACACATTATTTGATTTTCAGATTGTGCGTTATCGAAGGTTGATCTGATCATCATCATAGACGCCTCCACCAGTGTAGGACAAGACAACTACGATAAAATGCTGACTTTCTGTAAGGATTTCCTGAGCAACGCCGACATTGATTCCGGTAACGTACGTGTGGGTGCCTTGATCTACAGTTCCGGGGTAGAAGTTCAGTTCAATCTAAATACACATTCAACTAGAGCTGGTATAAACCAGGCTATCGATGAGATCCCCTACATTTACGGAAGTACGAACACGGCTGACGCACTGAGGACGATGAGGAACATGTTCAACGCCGCCGACGGGGATCGTGATGATGTTCCAAACATCTGTATCATCTTAACAGACGGTGTATCCAACATCAATTCACGGAGAACTGTCCCGGAAGCCGACAAGGCAAGAGTTGCAGACATCCACATCTACGCTATAGGTATCGGTCTGAAGGATACCAAAGAGTTAGACGGCATTGCCAACAAACCAGCATCAGAAAACAGCTTTAACGTGCAGACTTTTGATGAGCTCAATGCTCTCAGTGACCAGGTCTTCTCGTCGCTCTGTCCAGGTAAGTCACCAAAAGAATATCTAGATTTCACTGACTCAATTCATACTATATCATACTTAAATATACTAATATTCATAAAAAAAACTACCGAGTTTTCCTCTGTTTCAAATTACAGTATAGCTAATGTAGTTTGGTTTCCGCGCTATATTCATATTAGGCAGTGTTATCTTTTAATTTGTCCTAGATATAATTTAAATTAAACAGCGTTTATTGAAAACAATTTTCAAATAACAAACGTTCGTGATAACGGGATGTCTTGATAGTATTGTAACTATTTCATCTATCTATATCTGTGATTTGACGGTTGTTTTGACATTCACGTTTGTGTCCTGTATGTATCGTGTCTTGAATCTGTATTTTTAATACATGTTTATCGACATAATGTGTTGTGCAAAAATGTCTGCTGTGATTGTCCTGTGTTTGTTGTCACGTGGCGTACAGGATTATCACGTACTGAGTCTCCGGTCATTACGACTCCTTCCACGACCACAGAAACAGGTAAACATCCTATGTCCCTCAAATTGAAATGTATTCTACTAACAAGTCGCCCAATGCCGCGATAATCGCATTGCTGAGTACTTACAGCTGATAATCGCATTGCTGAGTACTTACAGCACAATCAAGCATCTGACCGTTAATGATTGCTAATGAAACTCTTCATGCAGCCTAATTTTGGTTATGAATTATTTATCAGATCAATTCATTTTAATTCTACTTTTTATCCAAATATTTAAACATTCAAAATGTTAGAATAACAAAACCGGAAATAATATATTTTAAGTAATTGCAATACCAAGTTTTGTATGATACATCATTATTCAAAAACTGCTATATCAAAACACGTATGCTTTCCTTTTTCTCCAACTCAATATTGTTGCTAACTAAATACGACCTGAAAGCAACTATGGAAATTTAGCTATGAACAAAACCTTCGTACATATCCTGTGTGTGTGTTGTTGTTTTACCAATCTGTGTATATAACACTGGAGTTAAAGATTCAGAGATGTGTTTAGTGCTACACTTTAAAACGTAGATGTTGATTTATAAATACGTGAAGAAATTATTTATGTATATCAAACTGTTTAACAAAACTATGCTATCGTTTGAAAACTTGACATTAAGTTCCTATCATGTTTGTGGTGTTACTGTTTACATTATGCACACACATATATGTATTTCATTATATTTCCTATTAACATGTATCAACTATGTTTGCTATATGTGTATATGTAAGTTTAATTCTAATCATGTAAACAATCAATTTCAGTTTGTTTGTCGGACGGTTTATTTTATATTAGATTTGCAAGTTGGTTAGTGACAATGCATGTAGTTTGTGAAAATATTTTTGTTTTTCTCTTTCCTTTCTTATTTCATTATTTTGACATCGTGTATCACAGTTTAGATTAATGCGCTATGAGCTATTTTAAATAAAATGTTTGTAGATATTTTTATCACGTTTTAGTAAATATCTTAATTTCAATTATCAGGAATGGTGCATGGTAATGATTGCATGCACAAACACATTTTTTGGTTTTTAGTTATTTCAGTTATGTTTTCATCAACAGCTTCTTGCGGGTATATACATGTCCTTTCGACATTTCAAATATTAATTTGCTTAATGACAAACGCATTGAATTGTGGTAGGTCTGGGGCAGAGTGACAATATGATATAAAACAGGTCGAAACCATCCAACTGTTTCATGTTAACATCAGTATCATAAGTGCATGATGATTACCAATTGTTTTAAAGCAATATAATCGTAAGAATATTTTTATTAAATAAATGTTCAGAATGGTCATTTGAGGTTGTATGCTCTGAATTGGTTTTTTTATAATGTTCGACGCATGATAAACTTATTTAAATCTATTCAATACAGCATATACCATATTGACTCATCATATGGGGTTACAGTTAGGGACATCAAATGGTGCATTTCTTGTCATATTTTAAGTACGCTTTTAAAGTAAATAACAAAAACAGATATATATTTAAGTAGTAGTTTAGTAATATTACCTGTTTTCTTATTGTTCTGACTCAAATGTCATCTGCTAACAACTACGTACAATGCATGCTGTGTACTATCAGAGTAAGCATTCAGTGACAAGCCTTGCTCTACGTGTTATATCAATGTCCATTTTTATTTATTAATTATTATTTCCGATATGTCGCGCTATTTTGTCTAAATTTCAGCAAATCTGTTATCTTGTCCACCTTGTCTTTGTTATCACGTGTTTTGTAATTTCACGTTTTGTTTAACAGTTTTGTCATAGAATATCTCAATGTTATAATAATGTAGTCATATGTCTTGCAATTAAGTGGAATGTATGATATCATTAAACAACACTGATATACACGTTTACCAGTGAGGTCCATGATGTCCTAATACAAATACTCTAATTATGAAGGTATGTAAAGTTTCATCTGAAACTATATGAGAGGTTTAAAATTCGCGAATAACCGAAATAATGAAAATAAATATGTTTTTTTACCAATAGATTATTCATTTACAAAAACACATATCAGTAACAATTCAATTTTGGCTTTTGTCATACTTTCCAGCTACAATATATGAGTATATGTTCTCGCGGATAAATAAATGTACAGTAATGTTGTATTATGTCGACAAAGACGAAGGGCAATGCTAGATATCGGTACCACAGTGTCCGTCGCATTCGTCATTTTTTCTTTGACCAATGTTTCCTTCAGTCAGAGAGCGAAATGTTGAGTAGAGCGATAAAGGCTCAATAGGCCTCTTGTTTACGACAATCAAGTTAAGAATTTATAACCTCCATGGATTGATATTAACAACATCATGACATACCTTAATAAACAGAAAAATGCGGCCTGTGTAATAGTTATTTAACACTTCCTCGTTCCAAATCGCCATGACTAACTTCAAAAGAAAGGCGATGTCAACCCGGTAGGTATTTAGGATATGATATGATTACATCAACGTCATATTTCTCATAACACAGAGTTACCTCGTACTGACAATTCGTATGTTAAAATATTCTTGTAGGATATTTTAATGTATCCCTGTCCAGGATTTATAAACGATACATTTGTTTCCCATCAGTTACCGACGCTCCCACACCTCCTCCACGAGCCTTTGATTTAGTCATCGTACTGGATTCGTCTGTTACACAACAACAATGGCAATGGATTCAACAATACGCCAGAATGGTCGCTGGTCGACTCAGTATTGACAACGAGAAGTTCCGTGTCGGCCTTCTGCGGTATAGTTCCGGTCAATCAGTACAATTCCAACTAAACGATTTCTCCACACGACAGGAACTATTAGCTGCCATGAACAATGTACAATACCAAGGGGGTGATACAAATACAGCCGAAGCCCTTGATTATGTTAGGACCCGGATGTTTAGACCCAACAATGGCGACAGAGACTTTGCGAGAAACTTTATTCTCCTAATTACCGGAAATGACGAAAGCACCGACAGGTATGGGGCGTTCCGAGCAGCGGAGAGAAACGAAGACGACGGAACCTACCTGTTCACGGTGGGAGTGGGACTCGGGGACCACAGCGAACTGGACGAGGTATCGTCACATCCTCTGGACGAATACCAGCGTCTGTTCTTACTGACTGACCGACCAGAGGATATTGACGACGAGTTAGCTATGCTAGAAGCATGTAAGTTAATTACTTGTTGATAAATACAGACAAAAAAATCATCTCTTATCGATTTAAGTAAATAAGTTTTGCAAGTATTAAATGATCTATAATGTTATCTAGAAATTTGCATTATAAGTAATGTATTCAGATACATTTATTATACTTAATTCAATATTACCTCGTTCCTATTATTCTTATGACTTCTTTTATATATATGTTTAGTACCAGAGGATCCACCGGCTGGATTCAGGGGTAGACCATATCCACCTCCGAGTAAGTATACAGCTTCAAATCCTATTTTGATTCAGAGATGTTCACATAATCACCATTAGAAAGCATCACAATGACGTCATATCAATTCGAATTCAATGCTCAATACAGAAACGACAGAATTTCGAAGGTATATAAAAGTTTCNTATTCTCCTAATTACCGGAAATGACGAAAGCACCGACAGGTATGAGGCGTTCCGGGCAGCGGAGAGAAACGAAGACGACGGAACCTACCTGTTCACGGTGGGAGTGGGACTCAGGGATCACAGCGAACTGGACGAGGTATCGTCACATCCTCTGGACGAATACCAGCGTCTGTTCTTACTGACTGACCGACCAGAGGATATTGATGACGAGTTAGCTATGCTAGAAGCATGTAAGTTAATTACTTGTTGATAAATACAGACAAAAAAATCATCTCTTATCGATTTAAGTAAATAAGTTTTGCAAGTATTAAATGATCTATAATGTTATCTAGAAATTTGCATTATAAGTAATGTATTCAGATACATTTATTATACTTAATTCAATATTACCTCGTTCCTATTATTCTTATGACTTCTTTTATATATATGTTTAGTACCAGAGGATCCACCGGCTGGATTCAGGGGTAGACCATATCCACCTCCGAGTAAGTATACAGCTTCAAATCCTATTTTGATTCAGAGATGTTCACATAATCACCATTAGAAAGCATCACAATGACGTCATATCAATTCGAATTCAATGCTCAATACAGAAACGACAGAATTTCGAAGGTATATAAAAGTTTCATCTGAAACTGTATGAGAGGTTTAAAATTCGCGAATAACCGAAATAATGAAAACTAATATATTATGTTTACCAATAGATTATTACTATTTACAAAAACACATATCAGTAACAATTCAATTTTCGCTTTTGTCATAATTTCCAGCTACAATATATGAGTATATGATCTCGCGGATAAGTAAATGTACAGTAATGTTGTATAATGTCGACAAAGACGAAGGGCAACGCTAGATATCGGTACCACAGTGTCCGTCGCATTCGTCATTTTTTTCTTTGATTGAATACCAGTTCAGAACAGATTTAACCATTTTGCTTCGTTAAACGTATCAAAATTCGTTTACTGACACTCTAGTCTTACATGTGGTACATTAACAGACATATTTAACCAATGTTTCCTTCAGTCAGAGAGCGGCATATAGAGTAGAGCGATAAAGGCTCCATATGCCTCTTGTGTGCGACATTCAAGTTTATAATTTATAACCCCCATGGATTGATATTCACAGCATCATAGCATAACCTTAATAAACAGAAAAGGCCTCCTTTATAATAGTAATCTAACTTTGACACTTTCTCGTTCAAAATCGCCATTACTACCTTCAAAAGCAAGGCGATGTCAACCCGGTAGGTGTTTAAGAATATGATTTCTCCCACCCTTCACAGGTGTGTCTCCCGTTATAGCCGGGAAAGGTCAGCCTGTCACCCCCTAGAGGGAGATAGCCTCGTGCCGGTTAGCACGTGTTCAATTGTGACATCATTAAAATGCGTCATCGGTAATTGTGACGTCATCAAAAATGAATGACGATAGGCATTCCCCACATGTGTTTTTATTTACAAACATGGCATACTACTGTCGGTGGAGCTGTGACTGAAGTAATATGATGGGAGAAAAATAATCATCCCCTACCGTGAGGGTGTAACCGAGAAATCTCCAACCCTCGGGGTGAATTATTTGGTTGTCTACCTCTCGGCAGAGTCTCAGGTTATACAACCAAAAAATATCACCCCTCGGGTAGGAGATTTCTCTGTCACACCCTCAACGTAGGGGGAAATTCTATTAATCATTACATCAACGTCATATTTCTCATTACAGAGTTACCTCGTACTGACAGTTTATATGTTAAAATATTCTTGTAGGATATTTTAATGTATCCTTGTCCAGGATTTATAAACGATACATTTGTTTCCCATCAGTTACCGACGCTCCCACACCTCCTCCACGAGCCTTTGATTTAGTCATCGTACTGGATTCGTCTGTTACACAACAACAATGGCAATGGATTCAACAATACGCCAGAATGGTCGCTGGTCGACTCAGTATTGACAACGAGAAGTTCCGTGTCGGCCTTCTGCGGTATAGTTCCGGTCAATCAGTACAATTCCAACTAAACGATTTCTCCACACGACAGGAACTATTAGCTGCCATGAACAATGTACAATACCAAGGGGGTGATACAAATACAGCCGAAGCCCTTGATTATGTTAGGACCCGGATGTTTAGACCCAACAATGGCGACAGAGACTTTGCGAGAAACTTTATTCTCCTAATTACCGGAAATGACGAAAGCACCGACAGGTATGGGGCGTTCCGAGCAGCGGAGAGAAACGAAGACGACGGAACCTACCTGTTCACGGTGGGAGTGGGACTCGGGGACCACAGCGAACTGGACGAGGTATCGTCACATCCTCTGGACGAATACCAGCGTCTGTTCTTACTGACTGACCGACCAGAGGATATTGACGACGAGTTAGCTATGCTAGAAGCATGTAAGTTATTTACTTGTTGATAAATACAGACAAAAAATCATCTCTTATCGATTTAAGTAAATAAGTTTTGCAAGTGTTAAATGATCTATAATGCTATCTATAAATTTGCATTATAAGTTATGTATTCAGATAAATTAATTAATTCATTATTACCCCGTTCCGATTATTCTTATGACTTCTGTTATATATATGTTTAGTACCAGAGGATCCGCCGGCTGGATTCAGGGGTAGGCCATATCCACCTCCGAGTAAGTATACAGCGTCAAATCCTGTTTTTATTCAGAGATGTTCACATAATCACCATCAAAAAGCATCACAATGACGTCATCTTAATTCCAATTCAATGTTTAATACAGAAACGACAGAGTTATGAAGACGAATGTTATCGTTAAACATATCTTTCTCACTCATCTGGCCCATTAAGCTAACCGTAGATTGTTATTGTACTTGTGATCGCTCTTCTATCGTTTTGATTGAATTGTAACCTCTTTTCTTACAGGTACAACACCCATTCCTATCACTCTTCCACCTCCTGTTTCTGGTACGTTATCCAATACATTTTCCATATCTTGCCTCTGGTAAATATCCTTATTGCTTTTCAGCACTTGTCTCAAGTAAGTTTTCAATTTTTCTTCTAAATCCGTTCTCTTGTACATTATCAAGTACTTCTTCTATTTCTTGCCTCTTGTTTGAAAATATTCCTATAAATACTATTTATGGTAGGGTATCAAATAAATCGTCTATTTCATGACTCTTTTATGTTTTAATTTCCATTAGTTTATCATCACCAGTTACTTTCATTAGAATATGGAAACGAAGGAAATGTTGGGTATAAATGGTAGCCACTAAAGTTAAAACTAAGTGCTAAAGAATAGGCAAAGAAAGTACTCTAATATCAAAACATAATAACAGGTTCAAAAGAGCCGTTATAAAATTCTTCTTAAAGCGATTAAAACATAAGGATACAAATGGGTCACTCTTTTCTTCGTGGGACTCACAAATGAGTTTTAATGCATGTGAGGTTTTATCAACCAAATCAAGTAAATAATAATATACATGACAGCGAGTGTTATGACCATTCAAACTGGAAAAAATGTAATATTCTCTCTTGAAAGAGACTATGTGACTTTCATGAGCTTTTCTTCGCCATGTAACTATTATTTTACACATGTTTTAACAAGAATGTGTGTTGTGCTGTTATTCCAAGCATATCAGTCCTGTAAAGTATATAAAGGTTATGAATAAGTGCTTGGTTGAGAAATGCAATGTTCGCGGTATGATGCACAACGTACTATTTTTGTCCATAGATTGTGCCCTGTCCAAAGTCGATCTGATCATCATCATAGACGCCTCCACCAGTGTAGGACAAGATAACTACGATAAAATGCTGGCTTTCTGTAAGGATTTCCTCAGGAACGCCGACATTGATTCCGGTAACGTACGTGTGGGTGCTTTGATCTACAGTTCCGGGGTAGAAGTTCAGTTCAATCTCAATACATTCAGCACGAGAAATGACATAAACCAGGCTATCGATGAGATCCCTTACATTTACGGAAGTACAAACACGGCTGACGCACTGAGGACTATGAGGAACATGTTCAACGCCGCCGACGGGGATCGTGAGGATGTTCCAAACATCTGTATCATCTTAACAGACGGTGTATCCAACATTAATTCCCGGAGAACCGTCCCGGAAGCCGACAAGGCTAGACTTGCAGACATCCACATCTACGCTATAGGTATCGGTCTAAAGGATACCAAAGAGTTAGACGGCATTGCCAACAAACCAGCATCAGAAAACAGCTTTAACGTGCAGACCTTTGACGAGCTCAACGCTCTAAGTGACCAAGTCTTCTCGTCACTTTGTCCAGGTAAATGTTATTATTTTTTCTAAACGTATATATAGTTGTTTCATATATTTGTCTATGTTCATGTTTAAATGTTATTTGTTTATTTTGCACATGTTCATTTATAATGTTTATGTTTAAATGTTTCTAATACAATCTGTCTATGTACTTTCTGAACAATACGTAATATCTTCTATAACGCTTTTCCTAAGTATAACTTTGAAGTTCTGTTGTAACTTGCTTTTGTCAATTACACTTTTGATATCAATTTCGTAATGTTTCACCTCTCGCAAAAGTATTCCGTAATTGCATTTGTTGAAACTCTTTAAATTTTACGATTCCGTTTTTGATTTAACGACATCACATCATAAATTATATATAGTTATTAACTTTTATATTTTATCTGCTAGTTAGATTTCTTATTTAAATCAAGCCTTCATTTTTGTTATTTTTTTATTTCTGTTACTTTATTAAAAATCAATTAATATTCAAAGTCTTCAATTTTATTCACGTTTTTATATTAGCTCCACTTTTTTCCGTAATAGATATTTTGACATTTGCTTTTTTTTCATCTTGTTAATTTCTTTGTTTTATTGTTAAGTTGTCAATTCTTGGGTTCTCACTATGAGGATGTAAGAGTAATTGGATTTGATCAGTTTGACTTAACGACGAAAAAGCTGAAAATGTTGACAAATCATTATTCTTGTACTTTGTTCAAGAAGCTCAATGTAAAACTATTTTTATTAAAATATTGCTCAATTTTAAACTATTCTTATTCCGATTTAGTCGTGGTATTATCGTCTTTTAGTTCAATATAGTTTTCT